GGGGTCGTACTTATCGCCAAAGAAGAATATCTAGAAGGAGTTTATTAATGAAATGCGAAAAAGGAACTTCTGATGTATTGTACAATGAAGCAAAGTATCAAGGTCATAGGATGAAGCGATGCAGGGAAAACTTGTCGAGCTAGCCGAACGCCCCGAGGGATGGGGAATAGGGCGACTACACTAATCAGGCCAGTTTCCTCTTCTGGTTTCCTCTATTCACTTCGCTTTGCTTGAATCGCTCTTTTTTCGCCTTTAAAGCCATGCCAGGACGACGTCCACAAAGGCAGTTTCGTCAACTTGATCAGTTCGATCGAGGTCGGTTGGTTGGCATTATGGAGGCAGGCCTCAGCATGCATCAGGTTTTGGTATTTGAGGATGCAGATTCCACGAGACCGATTCGCTCCTACCCGTGTTCGCAGAAGGTACTGGTGGTTGGGGACGGGTTGTCAGACAGGTCGTCTAGACCGCAGTCCCTGCATGCCGGTACACAGTCCGCAAAGACGTCATTTGGCCCATCCTCATCCATCATCACAACTAACCGACCTCGATCGAACTGGTGAAGTTGAAGAAAATGCTTTTGTGAACATCGTCCTTACATGCTTTTAAACACGAAAGAAAAACGATTGAAACGAAGAGGAGTGAATGGATGGAAGAAAAAAAGGAAAGTGGCCTGATTAGTGTAGTCGCCCCCCAACCCTATTTACATTGGTGTGTTTGGCAAGTTTTCTCTGTGAATATTGAACCTACGACCTTGAAACTAGCATCAATCTCATGACACACTAAAACAAGTATGTTTACACAATTTCATAAAGATCACTGAACTCCTTCATGGTGCGACTTCTTTTTGGCGATGAGTACATACCACGAGGAATAAGAAATCGCATTAGTGTTAGGAACATAATACAATTCTGCAAGAAATCCCATGAAAATGGAAGCTTTTGAAGGCAAGAACGCTAGAGAAGTTTTGAGTAGTATATTCAAATTGTCTAGAGCGAAGGTAGGATTATTGGGAGTTTGTTCGCCAGGATGATAGCAAAATCCCTTGGAGTCACGGAGACGATTCAACACGATCCTGATAGAGAATAGTTAAAAAAATTTTCCTCCTATAGGTTGACAATGGGATAAAAAGGAGACATACCAGTTCGTTCATGTTGAGAGCCGTTGGCAGTAGTTTACCGTCGCAATCCTTGCATCCGGTCACTTCAACTCGAGCCACTGATGCTCGGTACGTGTTCAATTTATAGTAAATATCCCTCACTGCAATAACAGTAATAAAAAAGGAAATCATCTACACATGCTAACCATTACAAAGCACCTATCAATGCTTGAATGTGAGAACCTGGTGATTCGCAGCGGATATGCTGAAAATCCGAAGAGGTCCACCAGACGTCAGGATCCTTCACAGCACAAGCGGCGGAGTGTTCCTTGGAGCCATCAGTGAATCCTTGAGGGTTCCCACAAATGAAGGTGACCTTCGCATCTTTGGGTGCGGGGTATTTCTCAACCCAGACTTTGTCATAAAGCATCTCAGACCCCTCGATTTTCGGGTATTTCGTCAGGCATAGGACTGCAACATTAAGCAATATTGTCATTCTCTGCTCTCGTCATAATTAGGAATTCTAAATGAGCCGATACTCTGAGCAAAGGCCTTGAATCCATCGTCTTCCATCAAGTCGCTTGTGGCAGCCGTGACCAGCTGGCATAACCCGTGTGATTCCCGAAAGTTGAAGGCGTTACACGATTTCTTTTTTAGCATTATACATCTGAAGCTGCACATTCCGTAATCCTCTTCGTGGGATTCCGAACTCACGCACACGTATTTCGAACTGTGCAGAATGGCGTAAAAAGTAATAATATCTCCTGAGACCGCCATGTGTGAAAGAAGAAAGAAGAAAACCTGTGTGCCCTTCATCGTCCAGTCTCTCGATGTCAAGGAGGAGAACGGAGATCTTCGAATATAACTACGTCAATGCATGTAGGCGAAGAAACACATTTACGTATCCATGTGAACGCCTTTTTTTTTACCCCCACCTCTGAGAAACTCACCGCCGATTCTATTTGCTCCTGGATCCTTCCAGGTTCTATCGCCGAGGGAATACAGAGAAGTAGATGGGGACTAAAAGCACCAGCTCGCTAAGTGCTCTGTTCGCAAATATGAGATTTTAGATCGCAATTCGTGAATTATTGGTGACCTATGGTCATCATCGAGCGTATGGTCAAGAACACATAGCGGAATGAACATTAAGATTCTTTAAATCTGATTTTGAGTTTACATGTTTCACTTCATGACAATCGCAACATGTACATTTTCATACGATGATCCTCAATGAATAACATTACTTGGCCATCATCGATGCGTAAGAGTCAGTCGAAGATACTACCCCATGCTACTTCGTTGCAGCGAAAGTAGCCAAGAAACTTTCATAGGTTAATTCCATAATTCATGCTTCTTTTCGATTCATAAATGCTTCTTTTTTTAAAAGGGCTTGTGGCCAACAACTGGATCCAAACTGGTGGGAAGTGGCCAAGAACGGGGTTTTTTCTTACATTCTTCCCATTTTGTTTACATTTTATAATGCCTCAGGAATGTAGGAAATTTAATGATATCAATGTATTCGCATCTTATTTCATTTTCCCTGAAACTAAAAGAATTGTCTCACCGGTTTACTCAATTCCAGAACAGCCATTGCAAGCTCGGCGAATTTCTTGTGTCCAAAAACCGGTATGTTTACCCGATTGGACCATACTGGTGCGGCGTCGCTTAGTTGATGTTTCAGTTCTCGTTGTCGTCGCTCTATAAAAATTACTTCTTCCATTCGTATTCTATAAGAGAACTCAAACCTAAACTGACATGAAATACGAGAAATAAAAACAGCGGTATGGATTAGGAAGGGGAAGCGGTATCCCTTTTGGAATTCCTTGTCCCAACCCCTTCTGAGGCTCTCGTCTTAGTTAATTTCTGTGCTGTCTCGTTCCCCTTCCTCGACAGCGCCGGAAAGTTCCTTTATCTCGAAAGGACTAAGAATTCGGGTAATATTTGACTGATTCAACTATAATACCCCATCGCTTAATTTTTTAATTGTTATAAGAACTCTCCCTTTCCGAGAAAAGCGCGACGTGATTTCGACTCACCACAATCGTTGCAAACGTGAAATGTGAAAGCGAAGAGGGAGTAAAATCCATGAAGCTGTAAAAACTACGGCTTGTTTTTCTTCGAATCTATAGATTCTTACTTTCCTGTGTACTAGTACCGCTCCATAGGGCAAGAAAATGTTTTTCTTGGAGTGCTGGCTGATGACTCTCCTACATGAATAAGTTACATGGGTTCTGCTTTGATTAATGAAGCCTGTTTGAATTTTGCACGAGAACTGAAAGGAAGATGGAAAGCAAGGAACACAAATTTCCGATGGATTCTATACGGACCTCCAGCTGGGCATGACGATGGCTTTGGTAGGCTACGAGGAATTAGCAACTAATTCACTCCACATTCAGCGAAGTCGTGAGCAAGTTTCTTACAGCATTTCATAACGAAAATTCATTGATTTTTTTTCTTCAGGAAACCATTCTTTTCATCGCGCGATAGTACCGTTACATGGGTGAGTACGATGCCACCCACGAAGGGAAGGAGAGGTTAGGGGGATGGTTAATCCTCCTTTCCATTCCTGGTCCACTCAATATTCAAGATTCAAGATAGTTAGTGATATCAAGAGGCGGTTTCGCCCATTTCGATATCACGTGTCGAGGTCGAGCGTTCCTTA